TCGCCAAGGAGCTGTTCCTCGGCACCCTGCGCAAGGTGGGCCCGCGGCCGTGGGGGCGGCGGTGGGGGATCCCGGCGGGCGGTGCCCCTTGGGCCGCTGACAGCGCTGAAGGGCCGCGGGGCGGGTCCGGCACTGCCCGGGTCCGGGGCCGCAGCCCGGCYGGCACGAACCGGGGGCCATCGCCCTCCTGGACCGGTGTCCAGCGCTGGCACCGGCACCCCCGGGGCTTTCTCCAGCCGCTCATCCGCAGCCGGGGCTGCAGGGTTTGGTGGGGCCTGGGCCTGGCTGTCCCCTGCCCGCGGGTTCGGCCTGTCCCGGTACCTCTGTGGAGCTCCGGGCCCTCACACTGTGGGTACAGGAGGCGTCTCTGTGTCCCTTCAGCTGGAGCTGGGGTAATAAAGTGATCTCCTACACGCGATGTAGCTCAGAATGACCCAAATAACYAACACCCAAAGAGCTGTGCTGTGTCACAGTCCCCTGCTCCTGGTGGCCGAACGAATTCCCTCTGGAAACACGAGTGTACAGACACCGGTCTCTGGGCATCCCACAGAACTTGGATCGCTTTGTTCTCTGKTTTTACTTCAAGGATCGAGACTTTATGCAAACTTCTGCCTACAGTTTTTGATAGGAAAGATTGAAATTCTGATGTTGTGCTTTGAGATGCCRCTGGACAAAGAAGTTAAAATCTGAGATAGAGCACACTGATAACCAGAGTTTGTTAACGCAAGGTTTAGAGTATGCATTTAACAGAGACAACAGGTGGAGTAAACTGAAAGAAGGAGCAACTCAAATCCACTGAAATAAGTTGAGCAATAAAGTCTCCTGCAGCAGAGTTTGTCAGGTGAGGTGTTACAACAGGCAGCAGGCAGGCTGAATTTAGATACATCTGGGCTTTTTTCTCTCAAATTTCAGTACAACAGCTTTCTGAAAACCTCTAGCATTTCCTAGGTCCTGAATTTCTGATGCTGTCATTATTTCTCAGAGTATCAGGATCAGATTTATGTGGGCAGAGATAAACTCCTCTGTTGAAAAGGGGAAAGGCAGTAAAATTGGAAGTGTGTTTCTCATGTAGCCTCCCACTTATTGCATTACTTGCCTGGATTTTTTATCCATTCAAACGTGTCAGGTTATGGTGCTCCCAGTTTAGACCAGAGCACCATGGTGATGATAAGGAGTGGTAGGACTCACTCACCTTTGTACTGTGCATTAACAGGTGAAATATGCCCGGTGTTTGTTCATGGGCTGTTCATGTATTGGAAACATTATAACAGCTCATTACCTTGTATCTAAATGAGACTTAACTCATTTTTTATAAAGCCCTAAATAGGCAAAGCTCAATAGACAAAACTCATATTGATAAGGGATTTTTGTATCCTTGTAGTTCTTAAAAATCTCTTGATTTCTCTCTAATGTTTCTGTTGATCAGGTAACACCTTCTGCTCTAGTTTTGGTGTGTAATGAAGCTCAGTCCTATGGCTGTTTCTGTACATTTTCCACAATTCTTAATTTGCACATTATTTTTGAGACTTTGGAAGGCATATGTCCCTGAATTTTTATTTCATCTGCATGATTCATGTATTAAAAATTATTGAATAATTGTCTCTTATTTTAGGAAGAAGTTTTTCCTTACCCAGAAATTAGCAATGAAGAGCTGGCAGAGATCAACCAGTTTGTGGGACCTGTCGAAAAATTTTTCAATGAAGAAGGTATACTATTTTTATTTATGCAGGTGATTTAGTGATTACAAAATGATTTAGCTATAGCAGTTGAATAATATTATTATACTTAAGACATGTAATTTATTTTATGCATTGATTGCTGCTCATATAGTGATGTTGATGCTATAGTGTTTCCTTTTATGACTTCTTATGGGGAGTGTTTGGCTGCTAATGAGGAGACATAAATCTCCAAATCAGAAAAAACAGGAAGTAGAAGCATTCTGGGATAGAGATAGGATTTGAAATTTGTGCTTTTTACCACTTCATATATTGTGATTTTTCTTTTCTAGAACTTTTTAACTGTCCTGCTCTGCTAAAACTGATTATAGCAAAATGCAGCAGAGATAATAATAAATGAGAGCTCATTGAGGAATTATGAAAACTGAAAAGCCCTTCTGTTTTTCAACGTTAGAGTARTAATTCTATTTGGGAAAGGTCTTATTACCCATCTGCATTCCAGAGAGCATTGCAGGGTATTCCTTCTATTAGTGCTGCCATAGATAAGCCAATTGCAGAATATTGGTTTTCACAGACAGCAATTTCTGAGGCAGTTAAACATTACTGTCCCCAGGCTTCCCACTGACACAGATACCAGCTCTGGTTTTCCAAACACTGGGGGAGTTTGGGGAGGCCAGTGACTGTCACACATTACAATTTGTGAGATCCAGGTATTTTAGCTCTAAAATTGTAGTGTTGCTCACTGACAGGAAATAAAGAATTTATTCAAATTACATTTTTTAGTTCTTTGCTCTGCTGGGGAACATAATTTATGGAATAAACAACCTGATGTTTAGGGGAGGAATGAAAGGRTCAAACTATGGAGTCTTAACTACAGGTGGCAATTGTTCATTCAATTCTATAGGTTGGGAATACAAGGGAAAAAAGAAGTACATAAAGGAGTTAATTAGAACATCTCATTCTTAAGGATGAGAACCCTAGAATTCCCAACTATTTCTGTTTAGTTTTTCAGGGTAACTGAGGGGAGTGGTAAAAATGGGTCAGTAGGGCAGCCTTAAGCAGCAGCTTGGTGTGATTGGCACTGGGGGAGGAGACTCCTGTCAGCAGAGTCACTTGAGGCWGGGCAGGGACTGACCCACTGCTGGAGCAGGAGGGAAAATCCTCCTCTCGCTCTTGGAGCAGCTGGTGCTGCACCACAAAGGTGTCTGGTGCTATGGAGCTGAAATCAGCAAGGAGGCAAAAAGTCTTTTCAAAATGAGTTTTTTTTTTTTTTTCTGAGTAACTCCTCCCAGAAGAGCATCAGAACGTCTGGGTCTTCCCTGATGTGCTCTCACAGAGGTTCCAGTGCTGTTCACTGGGCTGGATGTGAGGTTTTCCTTTAGGATGCTCCACTGCTTTTGCAGAGGCACCTCCTGTGCACTTTTTGGAAGGATGGCTGTGCTCCCTCTGCTGCARCCTACAGCTTTCCTGAGCTGCTTAATGGGATTCCTGTTTGTTTTCACTGTTGTGGTACAGAACAGCTCTTTTAATCCCCCAATAGTCAAAAAAACTCTTAAGAATGAGATGTTCTAATTAACTCCTTTATGTACTTCTTTTTTCCCTTGTATTCCCAACCTGTACTTGGTTCAGTTAGAAAATCCTGGTAATACTTTGCTTATCCCAGTCTTGGAATCTGCTGCYATGCACAATCAGTACATATAGAAATGTGTGAGAAAATGTAATAAACCCTGGATTTTTCCCACTTCCAAGTCCTTTTCCTGAATATGTTGTGAGGACACATAGGGCAGTCAGGCTGAAGCTAGAAAGGAGTAATTCTTATGAAGCTGGGGAGGAGAAGTCTGTCTCTATCTGCTGCCACAAGCTCTATGGCTTCTCTTAAGTTGCTTCAGAAGACTGGAGGAAAATTCCATCAGGGAATTCAGTTCCCCAGGTCTAACCTCACACAGGTTAGAGATCYTAATGCTGCTGCCTCAGGGCTCTCAGTGACCCTGGCCCTGCTGAGGGAACACTGCAGGCTCCCAGCTGCTCTGTGCACCAAGGAACATGGTGTTCAATAGGAAAACCTTCTGTGCTTGCAGTGGACTCGAAGAAAATCGATCAAGAGGCAAAAATCCCACCAGAAACCCTCCAAGGACTGAAGGACTTGGGGCTATTTGGCATGCAGATTCCAGAGGAATACGGTGAGTAAATGGCACAGAAGTGTAACCCAGTGTATTTGGTGGTGCATTTTTGGGGCTGGCAGAATGTGTCTGTCCAGTTCTGTGAGTGGTCACTTGGCCAAGTAAGGGGCAGAGGCTTTGTCCCTGGTTGGTGAAAGGACACAGCAGCAGGAATGTGGCTGTGGAGGAGCTCTGCCTGCCCTCACCTTGGCTGCCACAGTGAGGGGTCTCATTTTATCCAGTGGAAATTCCTCCTGGCACAGCATTCTCTTTTCTGTTCTTTGCTTTGGATGCAGGGGAGTAGCTGGAAATTCTGGGGGCCTTGGAATTCTTGCTGGTGCTTCCTAAAATKGTCCTGGGTCCAAAGTGCAGTGACCTCTCAAAGCTGTCATTGGCAGATAGGAAGGTGTCTGAGCATGTGCAAGTGTCAAAGTATAATTATAATATGCATTTATTAGAACAGTGGCTTTTGTGAAAAATCTCTCCACTGTAATGCTGACGAGTTCATGTCCTAAAGGACATTGAGATGCCAGCTGAGATCAGAGGCTTTAGGTCAGATATTCCTCACTGCAATGAGCCTTAGGATTGGAAAGCAACTTAGAAGAAAATGTTGGTTTTGTTCTTACRCATAAATTAAAAATTGGGATTGAAACAAGTATTTCCCATGAAATTTATAAAGAGAACATTGCATTTTCTGTTATAAAAGGAGGAGACTTCAAGGAGGAAACTCCAAGGACGACAGACCTATCTGCGTGTGACCACCTGCAGAACCCTCTTTCAGTGGGGAAAATACCTCATTTTTGAACAGAATAGGCTCGAACAAAGTATTTTTTCCATGTTTACTATAATACTGTATAAAGCTGGAGATACTCATTAGCATTTACTTGCTATTGAAATAATGCCCTATTTTTGGTAGTGTTTTGTTACTGTATTAGTCAACGTAACAAGTTTTGCTATACTGCACTGGTTTCAATTTAAGTCTTTATATGCAAATTCATTAAGGTTTATTGGACAGCTGGCATGTACTATAACATGATGTGGCCTCTGGTTAATTAGTTAATTAAAGCTCTTGAAATGCATTAAAAATGTTATTAAATGTTTTCATGTGTATTCAGTGCTAGGCAGGGTGGTGTGAGAGTGAGCTGGAGAAGAAGTTTGCAAACTCTTTCAAGTTCTTCTCTTGAGGATGGTGTCTTGGGAGGAGAAAGATCTGGAAAGAGTACCTTAATCCAGGTGGGGAGAGATGTGTTCAGGAGCTAAGACAGATACTGAAGGTGGAAAGGAGGTGTTGGAAGCAGAAAACAGTGGACAGAGCTCAAAGCAGAGTATTAGGAAGCACTGTAACATTGGAAATGTAACTTGTTACTGATTCACTAGAAATACTCTTCCCATTCTATTCATTTTTGTAAAGACTCTCAAAGGCAATGTATTTGACTTTGAAGTCACACTTTAATARCATGTTGTTATTGTTTTGATCTTGTGAAATAATATTCTCTCAGCTCCCAGTCTGTACCAGTGCAATCCATTCAGCATGCTTGTGGAAATTCCAAGTCCTGTGGTGCTGTAATGCTGTGTGCTGGATAAAATCAAAAGGTGGAAAGCAGTCACCTGCTTAAGCAGCCCTTTTAGTCTGCATCATAATTAATAGAATTCTAACGAGGTTATTCCCCATTTTCTGGATTTTTGGTGGTGCTTGTCATATTTTAAAGCCATTTCTGCACTGTACATTGTTTGTCGTTGTGGTTTGTAATCATGGCCTCTTTGCATCAAAGTGCAGAACTTTAGTGGGGAAAGTGAATTTCCTTCAGATCATGGAATATTGGCCCTGACATGGGCACTGCAGGAGTTACTGTGCACATATCTGTWGTGTGCAGACTGGATCCTGAACCCAGCACTGCTGGGGAAGGGGGAAAAAAGAAGAATTCAGAGAGGAGGAGTATGAAGGGGAAGGGTGCAYGACATCCAGGTGTGAGATAGTGGTGTCAAGGGAGACTGTTCTTTCATTTTTTCAGGTACACASAGTAGTGGGGCTGTTGAGACATCTGCAGAAATGAAATATGGGTTACCCTGACTTCCCAAGGAGAAAATTATTAACCTGGACAAAAGATGATCTTGATTAGGTTAAATTTTTTATTCACCAATATTATGTGAAATARTCTTAAATTACAGGAAGCAGGACTTGTGGTCCTGACAACATAAAATTCTTGAGCATTAGACTCATACAGATGTAGCTTTGATTTATCCTACTTCCTTCAGCAAGTATGTGCTGGGGCCAAGTTTGCTTCTTGGTATATTCACTTTTTTTTATTAAAGACATTTTGGAAGGGTTATATTTTATCCTTCTCCAGTACCAGTTTGGAAGCCTGCCCAGGGTCTATTTTGTGTCACTTTTGTAGCTCTCCAATTACAGGTGCTACATTGCTGTATTTCTGTCATTGAAATGGATTTTTTTGGGGGGGAAGGGGCAGGTTATATGTACTAAAATAAAATGTGGTTCTTGTTGCAGGTGGGCTGGGTCTGTCAAACACCATGTACGCACGGCTGGGGGAAATCACATCCCTGGATGGCTCCATTGCTGTCACCCTGGCAGCTCACCAGGCCATTGGCCTCAAGGTAAAGTTACTGCCTTAGGTCCAGGGGTTCTGCACAGCTTGCATGGAAAAGGTGATGTGAAAAATGTGGGCCTGGGGTGGAAGAAATCAGAATTCCTGAGGAAATATAAATCAGGTTGTTGGTGTCCCCAGCAGCCCCTGCCACTGATTCTGTGTGAGACTCTCATGCAGCTGAAAGAGTGGGTATGAAGTACACAGGAAAAYTACTAATCCAGGGAATGTTAAGATAATTACTCTTAGAAAAACTACTTTAAATGATTCCAAAGTTTCTTTTAATTGAGCAAATTTGTTAAAAGTAGCTAGAGTACTGGGGCTCATGATGGAGGGAGAGAATTTAKAGGAATGCAGTTTTGTCTGGCTGGGTGAGGCTGTGTGTTGGGGAGCTTAGAGGAGAAAACTCATCCAAGAGTAAATGTGAATTTTGAACTTTAATACAGCCATAGGTCTTTACCTTTCAGTGGTGGATGCGTGGGWCAGTGAAGCTTGAAATCACAGTAACTTTTTTACAGCAAGAGAAAATTCCTCATGGAATTGAGCAGACAGTGCTAATGAAGAATACTTTAATGTCTGATAAATAATACAGTCTGCTGTTTATTAAACTGTCTCTTGCTATGCCATAAAATTTGCAAATGAAGCTTTGTGAACATGGTGGAGCTTGTCAGCTCCATTCCTTTCTCCACAGGGTGATGCTGACAAGTTTTGTGTTGCTTGTTTCTGCAGGGGATCCTCATTGCTGGCACTGAGGAGCAGAAGGCCAAGTACCTGCCCCGCCTGGCATCAGGGGAACACATTGCTGCCTTCTGCCTCACCGAGCCTGGCAGGTGCTGCTGCCCTCCCCTCAGCATCAAACAGGGCTTATTGCTTTCATCTGCATGGCACACACTGGTCAATAGGTTAAAGCTGCATTATTTGGGACCTATGGCTGCAGTAGATAGTTCTGTGTTCTAGTTTTTAAAGGTACACTTCAGACTGTGTAATTACTCTTTYCCCAATGTGCTGCTTTTGGCAGTTTCCATTAAATCCTTGAGTCTTGTTCCCATCAAAGGAATTAATTTACTTAATTTCTTCAATGAATTGATACTTTGTGCTATGTCAGAAATAATGAGTTGTGACTGTGCTGCTTTCAGTTCTTATTCAGAATATAAAATCTTGTCTTGAAGGAGCTACCAAAAAAAGAAGAATTTGGGGTGTTACTTAAGGTTTAGAAGAGAGGTCTTTGTAGCAGCGACTTGATTTCAAAGWTAGATATATTTATTATAGTAATTCWTTGGCTGGGGCTAGTGCTGCAGGTTGTGTTAGTGCAGAAGAGGGACAGTTTTCTGAAAAACACACAGGAGATGGTTTGCTGTGGGACTGTGGAGGAAACTGGGACCAGCTGAGTGTTTGAAGTTGAATCATGTTTGTCCGTGCAGAAGAGTTTCCAGCTGCAGTTTGAACTCGTGTCTGCTGAAGTGGCTTGCAATCTTTACTTACTTACTTAAATCCTTTGATTTACTTGTTGATTTTCATGTTGCTGTGGTGCAGTACCTCCCAGAAATCAGTGATGGTTTTATTCAGAGCCCTGAGCTGGGCTTTATTCCTCTAAAAGCTGTCTCACTTGCAGTGGAATTTAAACCAGCACAGAAATTTTAACCAAGTGACCCATTGAAGGGACTTGGGAGTGACAAACAGGAACAAACCAAGGGCTGTGTGTTCTGAAATTCTTACATCTGCCTTATGCCAGTGTGTTTTTAAAAAGGTTCCTGGCCTTAATAACTTTAGCTTCAGAGAGACTGCAGTTCCAGTGCACAGAAGTAATCATCTTTAGAGCTGAGTTTTAGAAATCTGATCCTATTAAAATACCAGCTGAGATCTGGTTGTTCTGCCAACCTAACACTGAACACTCCCAGTGAGCCCTTGTGGCATTTGAATTTGTGGGGGAGGAAACTACTTTAGACGGGGAGGTGGAGCTGCTGGTTRCATTGTGGAGTAAGTGGTGATTCAGGAGAGGTGTGAACCTTTTATCAGGGCATAGTAACTTGTGATTGTGTTGTTGTCATTCACATGCTGCTTTTCTCCTTGAAGCTTATTGATAAGAGACCATCACGTTTGTTTTTCACTTCTGTTGAGTCTCTTTTCACCTGGGGTATAGAACAGGGTGAGAATTTTTAAAGAATGACTTAGATATTTTAAACTTAATGTGTGTTACAAGGACAGTCTCATTGTGTGCTCACATAGCTTGAAGTGTACCTCCAGARAGTTGCTTTTGTGGCATTCTGCATGTCCTGGTCAGGTCTTAACCCTGATATTATGGTAATGAGCAGAAATGTCYCCTCAGGTTAACTTCTAGAGCTGTGCAATTTAGTGAGCTTCCTTGTTAGTTAAAAACGAAAATTGATACATTGCTATTTAATAGAACTGTAGCCCCTCCTTTTCAGAAGGTGGAAAGTGGACAAATGTATTTTTTTTAAAGCATCTTTAAACATTAATAATCTGTTTGTTTTCTAGTGGAAGTGATGCTGCATCCATCCAGACAAGAGCAACCCTGAGTGAAGATGGAAAATACTTCCTGTTAAATGGCTCCAAGGTACCCACTCAGAGACTGGAAATAGGAAAAGTTTTTGTTAGAAGTGTCTGGAAAGTGTCCTCAGCAGTGCTGTCATCAGCCTGGCAGGAGGAGGCTGGTGTGGCAGCTGCCTTGGAATTGGGAGTTCTCCAAACTGGTAGAGAATGACCACATCAGAAGAATAATCCTTGTTGRTTTAGGGACAAAGAGAATAGAAAATCTCTGTTAGGCAATAACTGCAATAAACTCCTGGTAAGAAAAACAGAGAACCATCCCAGGTTCYGTCTCTATCACTCACCTGTGGGTGCAGCTTCAGGGACTGTTTAGATAGTTATTAGGCAAAAAGAAACCTAACCCCGTTTTTCCCATCTCTTCAWCCTTCAGGCTTSATTTTAYAGGTGTTTTTAAAAGAAAACTTGACATTTAATTAGAAATAGGACTGCTTGGAATCTTTTTGCTGAAAGAAACAGTGACAAAACCCTGTGTTGATGAAATGCAGAGAGGGTTCAGCAGTATTTGATGCATTGCAGACTTGATCTGTGGTGTTGATCCATTTGTGGGGTGAAGAGACCCACAGAAGAGACCCATCCTCTCCTGTGGGAGAGGACAATCAGAGAATTTTTCATCAGAATTTATTTTTGGGCCCAGCATTTCTCCAGTCTGCACTGCCCCTCACGTGCCATAAGCATCAGGATGTGCCAGCTCACGTGGAAATGCACTGTGGATTTGAATTTACTTCATGTTGATATTAAAACCTGGGTTTAGAGTTGCTCTGAACTCACCCTATGTGGGCAGCTCTCCTCAGAAATGTGCTCCCCAGAAGCTTCCCTGGAAGCAGAACACTTGTGAGAATTGAAGGGAAAGAGCAGCAATTTTTCAGTGCTTGGTTCTTTGCCCAGTCTCTTACAAAACTCTTGGGAGAATAAGCACAGTGACATTTCTTACATGTCTTCCCTCTCTCTCTCAAACAGGTCTGGATCTCCAATGGTGGCCTTGCAAGTATTTTCACAGTGTTTGCCAGGACAGAGGTTGTGGATAAGGACGGGCAGGTGAAGGATAAAATCACTGCTTTCATCGTGGAGCGGGACTTTGGGGGTGTCACCCACGGGAAGCCYGAGGATAAATTAGGCATTCGAGGCTCCAACAGTAAGAATCACTTTAAATTGTTAGCAGAAATTGGTTTAATAGWTTAATGTTTTATTTTGGTTAGATGATTGAATTCAGAGGCAAATCAGTATCTGTTCATGTTACAGTATAAGTTCCATGTTTCTTTAACTGGCTTTTCCTAGGAGTCCTTCCTTACGCAGGGTCTGAAATAAGAAATCCGTATTGTGGAGTTTATTCACTGTGCAGTGGAAGAAATCACTCGGGAGATTCAGTAGCCAATAGGTTTAATCTGGAAGTCCATTTTCATCAGCTCTTAAGCTTATTAATGATTGCAGCTTTGCACCATCTGTCTTTGGGGTTTGACTGCTCAGTCACTTCCTTAGAACTAAAAATAAAGACAAAACTCYAGTTCTCTGTTTACACAATGTACATTCATTAAATGTTTAATATTTTACATCAGTAATTGATGTCAGCTACAGTATTGTCCCAAAYTTTGGCTTCTTTGGCAAAGCTTGTGTAGTTCTGTCATAAACAGTGGATTAGGGAAACTTTATTTTTGTTATAAATAGTGACTTATGTTCCTGAATGTCTTTTAAATGTTTCTGTGTCAWATTTGATCAAGTGTTAATTCTGTGTTTCAGCCTGTGAAGTCCATTTTGAAAACACCAAAGTGCCTATAGAAAATGTAATTGGAGAAGTTGGAGGGGGATTTAAGGTAAGCAGTGGAGAATTACTGCTGGTGATTTTTAAAAGCCTGAAGGAGGCTGTGTTTCTCCTGTACTGAAGTTTCCTCATGGGTGGTGTGAGTGCTGCAGGKTGCTGCAGGGTACTGCAGACTCCTCCAGTGCTCTGTGAATTGGTTTCCCTGGACAATGCAGAGTGTGCCAGAAACTCAGATTTGTGTGTGTTTCTTCTCAGAGCAGTCCCAGAGCTGCTTCTCCTCTTTCTTGGGCCTTGGATTGGTTTTGGTGGTGTCCCTGCAGCAAAGGGGGTGACTTGAACTGCCTTTGTGACCTGAACTGGGGACATGTCCTCTGCTGGGACATGCAGGGAGAGGGAGCACTGAGTGTCCCAGGGAATGGCTGCAGGAAAGCCCAGGTCCAGCCCGAGGTGCCCTGGCTGTCAGGTGGTTTTCCAGGGCTGGATTGTTGCACAAGGAAATGCTGGCAGGACACCAACAAAGGCACCACTGGTCMCTTGGCTGGTGTGACCTTTCTGAGACTGCCCAGGGGATTTGCAAAGCTGCTCCTGCTCCTCCGTTTCTTACTCCTGCTGTAGCAGGCAAGCCCAGGCCTAAATGCTAAATGAAACAATTTTCTTTATTGTGGTAGAGATTAAAAGAAGACTTTTTGGKTTGTTTTTTCCTGAGATAGCTACCACAAGTTAAAATGTGGGACAGTGACTTCTTTCTAAACAAGCTTTGACCTGAGTCACCCACATTGAGAAACAGCACCACCAGATTCCAAAATCTATTTTTGTAYGTTATTGATCTGTATTTCATTTTTACACCTTCATTCTTGTTCCCTTCTGTGGTAAGTCACTGAAAGGAATCTGAAGCAGAGAACAGCCATCACAGGTCAGCTGCAGGAAGAAATGTTGTGTTTCCTTCTTCATCYCATGAAGTGGAGAAGTGCTGTCTAGCTGGAATGTTGTTTATCCAGCTGCAGATAAATACATTTTTATCTACATTTACCTTCAGGTAGTTATAATAGAGATTAATTCCAGGTTTCTGGATCATCAGTCTCTGGAAAYTTTCAGATATAAATTGGATGCAGTGGTGGCAGGAAAAGCCCAGTTTTGAAGCATTTTCCTTGGGATGCCGAGTGTTGTGGTGGCTGATGTGAGGACAGGTGTCCCAGGACTGGAAATGTGTCCCAGGAATGAAATCCAGGGAAGCAATGGAGTAGSAGGCAGTAACCAGCATGGCCTGAARAGAATGTGCCTTAACCCCCATCSGTTTTCTTTGCAGGTTGCCATGAATATCCTCAACAGTGGAAGATTCAGCATGGGCAGTGCATCTGCTGGAATGATTAAAAAATTGATAGGTGGGTGAACTGGATGCTCTGCRTTACTGGGGACTAGCAGAAACTGGCAATGAGGCAGATAATGTGGRGCATTCAGAATGCAAATGTGAGTCTTGGTCTTGTCATAACATGCTTTGACATCTTTAAAAAACTAAAATATGCTTATTTTAAGTAGTTCTTAAAAGGCTGTTTACAGAGGTTTTAAAATAAAGGGGKTTTTTTTCAGTTCATATAGTGTAGGTTCAGTTCACAGAGTGGGAGGTTGTTGCCTCTGTTGGATTTCTAAGGTAAAATGTTCTTCCCAAGAGAAAAGCCTCTGTACTATTACTTTTAGAAAGTGTCATCTCTGGRACCTCCTGCCTGAGTAACTGGCTCAAAGCTACACACAGTAATTAGTAATRAAACTGTTTTCTGCCAGTAATTAGCCAAAACTGGAACAGAAATGTCTCTGAAGTAATCAATTAGCACCAAAATTGATTACTTCTTCAAGCATACAGGCTTACACCTCAGGCCCTGGTTGTAAAGCCTTTGGCAGGCTGGTCCAGAGCTGATCACCACCATCACTGTGAGGGGGTTTCTCACCAAGGGCTGCTTCTGGAGCAGCCAGGGTGTTCTGGGCATAGACTGGAGTGTYACCAGCCAGGGAGAGACACCACCAGCAGGAATGGTCTGTCACAGCTCTTCTGAGATGGATTTGTGCTTTCTTTCTTTAAAGAAATGACGTCGGAGTATGCTTGTAACAGGAAACAATTCAATAAGAAGCTCAGCCAATTTGGATTAATTCAGGTAACAAAAAATGAAACACCTAAATCTCTGTGCTGAGTGCAAGGATATAGATTACATTGGGAGTATTTTGGCTGTACTGGTTTAAAGGATTTGCTAGAATTTGTGTGAACTTGTTGCTGGCTTCTGTACACTGACCTTTTAAATGTSCAGAATGATAAATGTATAAAAATACGTTTTATTCAGGATTGTTTTGAAATGGTACTTTTCATTAATTAGTGTTTGATAATGTTAAACTTATGAAAACTGCGGTTGTTTTTAAGCTTGAGGCTTGACTGTGGGCTTTTGCATCTGAATCTCTGTGTGATTCCTGTCATTGCTGTTTGCCAGGAGAAGTTCTGTCTGATGGCAGTGAAAGCCTACGTGATGGAGAGCATGGCTTACCTGACTGCAGGGATGATGGACAGGCCAGGCTTCCCTGACTGCTCTGTGGAGGCTGCCATGGTCAAGGTCAGCAGGGCTGGGGCAGGGCTCTGGCCTTCACTGCACAGGGCTGAGCTGGGGGCTGTGCTTACACAGGGGACACGAACACTTGAGCCAGGGGACGTGATGGACACGGCTCTGTGTCCCACAGCCTCASAGTCGGGATTTGTCACCATGAGAAATAAAACCTGCAGAGAGCAGGCTGGGAATGTCACAGCCTTCCTGAGTTGGGAGCTGATGACGCCTYACACGAGCACAGAGCYAGTCCAGCTCCAGCTGCCAGCCTGRCCAAGCTGCTGCTGTCCCAGCTCTTCAGGGAACTGGTGGCAGAATGAACCCTGTGCAGTATCCGGGTTGTGGTGAGCCTCATGGCATGGTCACTGCAGAAAACTCCTGCTCTGGGCCCACCCAAGCAGCTGCAATTGCTCTGCCAGCATGGCTTCCCCTTTCCCTGCAACTGGCCCTTTTGGACACTGCCTTGTGCATGGCAAGGGCACAGGTTGAGTGTGACCAGACACCCTGAGCTGTAGTGACACGGTTTCAGGCAGGTTAGCAGGACCAGTACAGCACAGCARAAAATACTGCAGCAGTGTCCTGTAGCCACAACCCCAGGGAAGSGTATGCTGTGGTCACTGCTCATTAATTATCAGTTCAATAATCAATTCACTGATGATCAAACACTGTTCATGGCAGGTGTTCAGCTCRGAAGGTGCCTGGGCGTGTGTGAGTGAGGCACTGCAGATCCTTGGAGGCCTGGGCTACATGAAGGATTATCCCTACGAGCGCTACCTCAGGGACACCAGGATACTGCTCATCTTCGAGGCAAGTACCAGCACCCTGTTCTTACCATGAAGTGCAGCTCACCTTCTGTGAAGGGGAGCAGAAACCCRAGGGTTTGGTTTGATGCCTAAAACAAGGCTCACCTGAAAYAGAGGCYAGATAAATTTARGAGAATAAAGCAGACAAATTTAATCCAGGCCTGCTGGTACATTGAGGGCAGACAAAGCCTCCTCCTGAGGCTGCACCCAAAATGGACCCCGAGTCACGAGATCTTCCCCTTTTATCAGTTCTGTCTCATGAACACATCGGCCCCAATTCTCCAATGGCACCTTCAGGTGATGACCTCACCCACCCCAAGCTGCTCCCCCCAATTCTCCATTGGTTACAGATTTTGGGGCTCTGAGGCAGCGAATTGTCCTTGGATTTCAGGCCCAGAGAGGAATTGTTTTGTCTAAAGATGGGAGAACAGGAGCTCAGTGCTGTGCACTGGAGAAGTACAAGATAYATGAAAATATGGAAACCAAAAATCCTAAGGCATCARGTTGGCCGGGGCTTCCTTCCTTCAGCTGCAAAGTCTGTAATGGATRAGACTGCAGAATTAACCTTGTCTTTGGAATAGCAGTAGTTGTTTCCTCTAATAAAATAAGCTATGATGGCTTTTGTAGACTGACCCCAGTGTGAGCTACAACAGGAACTGGCACCAGTTTGGCTCTGCAAAGAACAAACTGGTGATATAGAGATAAATACATACATGACAGTATATGGACACAGTAGAGTGATATGGACACACTGGTAGGGCATTTACAGTTTSTTAGAGGCTTGCTGGATGATTTAACAGAAATACATGGCTATTTTAAATGCACTGAGAAAAAAATCCAGTTCACAGCTCAGGTTGCTGCTTCTTTGAACAGATCAAAGGGTTCTAAATTAGATAAAAGTCTTGACAGAAGTTGCTCCTCAGTTTCTGGTAAGTAAATGGCTGTAACTGCASATGCTGACTCACAGTGGAATCAAAGAGCAGCAGCTGCCTTAGCCAGAGCCTCAGGAGAATGCAGTTGGCTTTGTATCAAGCATGTTTTTAAACCTTTTTGCTGCCTTATCTGTTCYAGTGTAAGCAATAGAATTAGCTAAGAGTTATGGGCAAAACTTTAATTTTTAAACAGATTTCTCTAATAGGATTTTCTCATTTTATTGTGGCTAAGCTGCTCTGTTGGTRCTTGTGCTGGAGTAACCTCACTTCTTGTGTGCTTCTCACAAGCAAAGTAGGGAAACTCATAAAATACCAGTTTAGAARTTTAATTAACTTATTGATGGGCATTTATATATAAAAAGATTGTTTCTGAAGTTTGTTCCCTTTCCTAGCAGGATTGTCAGTGAACATTGTGTGCACAGTGATGTTAYTGATCTCTGCATCACACTGCAGTGATCACTGAAATCACTGACAGACTTGATTTCAACTCCTTTTAGCTCATTTTGAGCAGTTCTACAACCATTTGAATGTTCCTTYTCTAGACTAGTGCAGAGCCCTTTTCACTCAAAATGCATTTAGTTTGGTTTCTTTTTAATTGGGATACATTTGTGTGTTTAATAATGAGGGGCTCAACTTCTGCACCTCCACATGAAATCAGAATTAAAATAATAAAATAATAAATAAAATAAAGCAAAAGACAGYAATTTATGGGTGGAGGGAGTGATTTTGTGGTCCTGTAACAGTGGGAAGGGCGCAGGGGCACAGATACCTGCTTGGGAAACAGTATCTCAATGATACAGATGGGGGTAGGTGGCCCCATCTCACTTTCTATTTGATTTTGTTCCAGGGAACCAATGAAATCCTGAGAATGTACATTGCACTGACAGGAATGCAGCATGCAGGCCGGATCTTAACTGACAAACTTAAGTATGTTCTTATTTATTGGTATTAGTTTTTAATAAACTAGACAGAACCCGATAACTTTATAGATAAGAGGGGAAACTCTAGGGAAACCTGCAGTATTTTCAGTGTATTGCTTGTAAAAGTAATGCAGTGTTACAGGGTCTCTTTGTCATTTAATGGGATGGTTCATAGATTTAGGAGTCTTGGCATTTAATGCATTTTATCTTAGACTTCTACACAAGCTGTAATTATCTCTTACAAGACCAGTAATGAAAATTTTGTATCTGCATAAAGTTGTATTGGCACAACAGCTGCATTTTGCACATTGAGTACATGCACTGATCTCTGGAATTCCTCGTGAGTGCCTTGGAGAGGAGCTGATGACTTGGTAATTCATGGACAAACTGCAGGAGTTTTGCTAAAGCATTTAGAATTTTAGCTCGTTATGTCTGAGCCTCCCACAATGTCCTTAACAGCTGTTCTTCCCCAACATTTCAGAGCAATCAAGAAAGGAAACGTGGGAGTGGCCCTGGGGGAGTTCCTGACCAGGTTACAGGACACCATGGGCAGGAAGGTGGATTTTGGGCTTGTAGGTAACGCTGGGGTGGTGCATCCCAGCCTYCAGGTAAGGGCTTAGTGCTGAGCTTTCATGTTTGTTTCTTTGCTGCTTGTCACATTTTGATCTCCTGTTTTTGCAAATCCAAACGTGTGCTTAGGAGCAGGGAGATTTTCCAGTGTAGGCAGTTATTGACACCGTGTCAGGGTGAGAAGTTACAGTTTTTGTGCAGGTATCAAGGGAGAAGGAAGGCTGCTCTAAGTCTGGATTTACCAAATCCCGGTTCATATCCATTTGGGTAATTTGTATAAATTGAGCCTTCACCTTCTCTGTAATGGTTTGTGGCTGCCCTTGGTAGTAAGGTCAGTCACAAAACACCGGGCCTTCTCCTGTTCCATTGTAACAGAGTGTCAGAGGGAGCTATCAAGAATTTCTGTGAGTTATACATACACATACTCGCTTAACCACCTAGGAAAGGGTTTTTATGACTAAGAATGAATGTTCTGTTAACAGCAAAAAGGTAAGGTATGCTTTTTGTAGGATGTTCTGTTAGTCATTTTTGTAAGCATAAGCCTATACTGAGAGTTACCAAGAGTAAACTCTAGAAAATTTTTCTGCCTGTTTGAGAGAAAGAATAGTGCTTGTCTGGCTTTCAGCAACAAGGTGGATGAATGTTAAAAAAGAGAAAATCCAATGCCCTGTTTAAAGGGGGTGAGGCTGTGCTGCTTTTTCTGTTATAAAACTATGCAAACAGTTGTATTTTCTCTTTTGTTTTATAGGAGAGTGCTAAGAAACTTGAGGAAAACATTTATTATTTTGGAACTACGGTCAGGGGCCTGCTAAGTAGGTTTGGCAAGGTAACTTGATTTTTTCTGTTGTCTTTGTGACTGAAGAATTTATTGTCAGGGCCCCACTGGAGTCTGCAGGGGACTGTGTATGGCAGGAGCCAGCACTTCCTTCACCTTCTCACAGAGTGTGAGAAAACACACTGACATTCTATACTCCGTGTAATGGACAAGTTAGACCTTCAAAACCAAAACCAAAGCATCAGCAATCTCACTGAATTCCTTGTTTTCTTCTCCTGTGTAAGCACAAATCCTGCTGCTGAAGCAGCTCGGAGTTCTTGCTGTGAGCAGCCACTGGAACCCCCTTCCCATTCCCAGGTGGAGAGCTATCCCAGCAGATCCTGAATTTCTGCTGCTCATCCCTGTTGTGCAGCAAACAAATCCATCATTCTGCCATGCATAGAACTGCAGTTCCAGCAGGGGAGGCTGGAGCTGGAATACCCTGGATTTCCCGTGTTGTGGCAGTTAACCTGATCTGTGCTGAGAGTTCTGCCACATGTTCTTGACTCAGTACACTTTTTGAACAGGCCTAATACATGTGACACTTAAATTTCAGTGATTTTTGGCATTTAACTAAGTGGTTTAAGACACACAGTAATTCTACGATTTTTCATGAAGACTGTTCAAAGGTTCAATTTAGTTAATCCAAAATGAACTATGGTAATTTCTGACCTAGGGTAGAACCTGATAGAACCGGCGAAACAAAGCTGGACTTAACACAGAGTAGGAACATTAATATTTGGTTAGGGTTTTAAACTGGCAAGCTACAAGCTAATAGTGATTTTTACTCGAGCAGACAATAGTGGAGGAGCAGCTGGTGCTGAAGAGAGTGGCAGATGTGGTGATCAATTTGTATGCGATGACTGCAGCCATCTCCCGGGCGAGCCGCTCCATCAGCATCGGGCTCAGGAACCACGATCACGAGGTGAGAGTCCTTCAGAGCCAGCCATTCCCACTCAGTGTGTGCTCCTGGGAGCAGGAACCCTGCATTTGGGGGGAATTCACAGTAAACTCTCCCATAAAAGTGCAGCAGAGCGTGGCTAAAACTGCCAGAGTGCAGCATCCTCTCGGGGCTCTGCTCATGGAGCTGCACACTATCAATGTGTTCAAAATACCTGGGTTACACATCCARAGACATTTAGAAATCTGCACATTCTCTCAAAACTGTTGACCCCATGCAGTTCTTCCCCAGCTCTGCCCCTATAATCATTGATAGTATCCCGTATCCCCAGTAATACTTGGACAATTCATTCCAGCACAGGAAAGTGGTTAGTTAGCAGCTCATGTAAAGTTTCAAGGTTSCAGTACTGTTACAGGACAAGCAAATTTGCTACAATTCAGTGCTAAATCCAATCTGATGAAGCTTTGGGTTTGCCCTTGAGACTTTGCTCTGTGTGTGTGAGCTCCTCTCTGGATTGATTCCCAATCAGTCTTGGATGCCAGTTTTGGGTGCAGGCTCATCCCRGCCCTGACCCTTGGCAGCTCTGGGCTCAAAGGCACAGCTAAGACTGCACTGCACATGACTGGGGTGTAGGGCTCCCTTGGCAGAGGGCTTTCAGAAGTTTAAATTACTGTATTTTTACTACATTATTTTGCTTATAAAATTCATTCAGTATTTTTAACTCAGTTTTATTCCTTTTCTAGGTGCTTCTTACAAATATCTTCTGCACAGAAGCCTATTTCAAGAATAATTATGCCATGACTCAATTAGAAAAATGTAAGTACTATAAAATAAGTTTTACATTCTTGTTCTTTCATAGGCTGTTATCCCAAGTAGGTAGTTTGATATGACCAGCAGTATAGTTTTGCTCTGCTTTTAATTTGAAGAAGTAGCAGAGCTGGAAACTGTTGAACAGTCTCTTACTTCATAGCTAAAGCAAACTGCCAGGGTTCTCTTTTTGAGGAATATAAAATCTATCAGTAGCAAATACTCCTGTAAAGTAACTGATAGAAATGAGGGATTTGGACTCTTTGGGAAGTAGTGATGAGTTGGTCAGTCTGTAATAAACTCAGTCTGTAATAATCAGTCTTTTTCAGAAGAGAATGTTCAATTTCTTCCCTAGCACTGACATAACTTGCATGTGTCCCCAAAACACTTTTTGAAAGAAATTTAGAACAGTTCTTTATGGTACCTTAGCTGACTTTTCTCTGTTTCTTCATAGATGCTGATGAAAACCTGGATGATTCCATTAAAAAAGCTGCCAAGCAGATCCTGGAGAAGAGGGCCTACATCTGCTCCCACCCCCTGGACAGGACCTTCTGATCCCTCCCTGACAGCAGACACTGCTGAGTGGAAATCAGGGATAAATTCGCTGCAGTTTGAATGTTTGACGCCTTAAAACCATCTTTCATTTAATGACTTTACTAAATGTAACTGTATAAAAGAAAACTTCTTTCTAACCACAACTTCATAAAGAGGATAAATAAAGAGATTTTATCTAAAGCTTAAGTCACTTTATGAGATGTACATATGTTCCCCATGGAGCTGGATAAAGACAGGTGAGCTTTGGAASGGGAGGTGTTTCTTGTGTGGGTTCCGTTATGGTTAAGGTTTCTCCTTTTCCTTCCTTGGAGAATTTTCTTTCCCATTTGTTGCTGGGATACACCGATTGCCAAGTCATTCTTTTGATGGCTAGGCAATTGGGGAAGACAAAAAAAGCTGCTATGCCCTAGGTGGGGCCAAGGGGTCTCTCCAGGCACTTCTCCTGCCTGGCATTTTTTTTTTCCTCTCTTTGGAGAGAGGGAAGTTCTCACGGGAGTTTTGGGCTCAGGGAGGGTGGGGGGAGGTGGGGGTTATAGCTTCACTTCCTGCCCTGCCTGGCTTGGGGGAGGACAGTGGACCTCCTGCCTGCAGGGGAGAGATCTCACCTGCTGCTGCAGAGCCCAGCATCTCTGCTCGTTGGTTCCTGTTTGCTGCACTGTGATCTTCTGCCCCTGTGCCTTGCCGGGGACCCCCTGAGATTTCAGCTTCAGGGGTTGAACTCTGCTCCATCCCATCTCGCAGCTGTGGGATTCTGCTCGTCTCTTTGCCGTTGTTCAGAGCAGCACCGAGATCAGCGTTTCCACTGTGAGTTTTGCAGAGAAACTTTTCTCCATCCATCCCTGCCGTTCTGTGTCCGCCATTGGCCACGCGGGAGATCTGAACCAGCCGGGACCCGCGCCACAGCGCCCCCTGCAGCCGCCGGGGAATCATCGCACCCGCCCTGCCYRGCCGRGAGCCAAYAGCGCCCCTGCCGGCTGGGACTGGAACTGCACCAAAGGGGAGGCTGTGTCTCTGTAAGGCTGTCACTGGGTTTGGGACTGGGCTGGTTGTTGCTATTATTGTTGTTATTTGTTTCACCTTGTTACACATATTAGTAAAAACTGTTATTCCCTTTTATCCATATTCTTGCCTGAAATCCCGTGATTTTCAAAGTTATAATAATTCGGAGGGAAAGGGGGTCCCTGCCTTCATTGGCAAACACCTGTCTTTCAAACCGAGACAGTTCTCAGTATCTTCGCACTGAACAAGTGCTGAAAGACTCCTGAGACTCTCAGATTCTCAGGGGACTCAGAGCAGTTCAGTTTGGGATGCACCTCCAGCTCTCACACTGTCCAGCAGCACCATCAGACAGAGAGTTCCCAGTGTCTGGGGATGGTTTTGCTGTCACCCCAAGCTCCCATTTGAGTGTTTTACCTTGGATCCAGCAGAGCTTCCCCATGTTCTTGTCCTTGGCCTTGGTCCTAGGCCTCCCATAGACTCCTTTGCTGTGCTTTGGCTGAAAACAATAAATGGGGGCTTTGTTTCAATGCAAATTGTCATCTTTGATAGAGGAGCCTCAGGAGAAAATACTTYAATGAGCAATATAAAAACATTATTTTTAATATTCAGATGTACTGGCAGTGTACTCACTTTTGCTGYGCCTGGACAGGATTGGGCCATCTCTGAACTGTCCTTGCAAAGTCAGTTTTATCCAGTGAGACATTTCAACCGTGTCCCCATATTTGCCTTTGGARATTCATTGCTGGCCAGGTGACAGTAGGAAAGCAGCTGGGAAAAAAAGAGCGGGAATGACCTTTGGACATGGGGACAGGCAGTTCAGGAAGTGTTTAAGGGTGTCATTAGGCCATATAGAAAGGAAATCAGGCAAAAGCTCAGTTAGAWTTCAATCTGGCCATTAGTGTGAAAAATAACCAGAAAAATGTTTTTATAAATACAATAATAACAAGGGCTTTGGAAAATCACCATTCTTTGTTGGATATGGGGGAATGCAGTCACCAAAGCTGAGGCTGCTGCCTTTGCATCAGTGTTTAACAGCAAGGCCAGTGCCAATGTCTCTTGTGACCATTTCTTGATGGAAGGCAGGGCTGGACTGAGTAGGAAGGCYGAAACATTTAGTCATGAAAGAAATCATGGTCATCACCTGAGATCGTGAAGCTCAGAGAGATTCCTGTGGGCCACTTCTTGAGCTTGTCCAGGTCCCTCTGGRTGGCCCTGTCCGGGGGTGTCAATGCACCCTCAGCACAGTGTCACCTGCAAACCTGCTGAGGGTGCCCTCCATCCCTTTGTCTGTGGCATTAATGAAGGTGTTAAATCACACTKGTCCCAGTATGGAGCCCTGAGGGACACCACTGGTCACTGAGCCATTTACCACATCCCTCTGGATGTGACCACCCAGCCAGTTCCTCCAACAACCTCCAAATGGTGCCTCCATCAGCTCTGCAGCTCTCCAAATGAAGGGGAAGGATATTGGGCAGGGGGACTGTGCCCAGGGCAGTGCAGTAGTACAGAGAGGTGGCATCCAAAGCTCTTCCCCKGTGCACTGACGCAGTCACTCCATCATGGAAGGGTCAGCACAGACGCGCTGTGTGCTCTGCAAAGTTTCCTTCAAAGCATTTCAGAGATTGGCTGTTTTTTTCCTGTTTTACTGACTGACATTGCTCTTTGAGGACCACAAGAGAAAGCAGGCCCTTCAAATCACATGAAGAGCAAATGGTGAAGTAAAGGCTTCACTTCGCCAATGAAACCAAAGGGCTGCATTAGCTTGCCCCCCCCACATGGTGCCAAACTGAGCTGCAGCTGCAACGGAGCCAACAGGAGCAAATCTTGCACTGTTCCCCAGAGAGCACTCACTGCTCAGCCTCCTGGGCTGTGGCTGACACAGCACCAAGAGCTCASAATCCTGGCCCAAGAGCCCTGGGCTAAGCCAGTTTCC